AAAAGATGAGTCATAATTTATTTACTCAGAATTGTATACAGTAGTGAGTTCAGAAGCACCACCACCATCTGAACAGTTCACAGGCTACATTATCTGTATCCTCCAGGCACAATCAAGCAAACTGTGGAAACTGGTGTTTGGAGATACTGGAACAATTCCGTGAAGCAGAAGAGATGATCAGGGATTTATCTGTATCGTAACAACAGGGGCTTTCAGATCAAAGTTTAAGAAATTCTCCTATTGTGAAACAAACACTCCTGAATTTCTTCTCTCTTAGCACAGCACTGAAAAGTCACTGTTACAGCCACATGTACACACAGACAGAAACCGTCCATGTGTGGGGGTAGCGAGTTATCTTTAAACAAGTATATAATATTTCTATTTTTTCCCTTGAAATTTTCCCTTGTTGATAAAGCTCTGCAGCAGACAAACATGTCAGCATGGTACCACTACTTCAGACTGCCTACAAAGATGGAGGCAAGATAAAGCTCTTCTGTTCCCCTCCACTTTGTTGATATATTAATTATCTCTACAGAACCATAAACATAAACCAAGGACTTACTGACATGAAAATAACAATCATTGCTCGAAGGAAAATAATGGCCATTGCTGGAATGAAAGTAATGATCATTGCTGGTTTCCTTTTTTGTATCATTAACTCAACAGGCTCAAACAGCTCAGAATTTATGCAGACACAGCCAGGTGCAAAGCAACAATTGCACAGAGATCCCTGTTTGCCAGTGTGAAAAAGCAAATGTTTTAGGAGGGGGTGCCAGAAGAGCACTAAAAGGATGCCCTGGACATCAGGCCCCAGGGAAGGTGCTGCTGATTCCTAAGCAGGTGAAGCAAATCAGGATGGTAAAGGCCAAGGGGATTACGGGAAGTGGAAAAAAATGAGACAAAAAAGGAAACAGATACTTTGGCCATGGGAAAATACTTTATTAACACTTCTCGCTGCCTCCAGCCTGCTGTTTTTTTGTAACAACCTCCATTCTCAATGCGTGTGCTCACCTGACCTCAGAACTGCTCCAGGTTGTCCATCATGGTTTAGCAAGAGCCCCAAGAAGCCCCCAAACACCAGCAACCTTCTCTTCCAGCAGCCTCATGCTTGAGTGTGAACAGGACACGTTAAAACAAAGCACCGTGACAGCAGTGACAGACACTGGCAAAGGCTGCCTTGGTGCTCGAGCTACTCCTGACCCAATTACACACAGATGGGAACAGTGGACTCGCCAATTACCTCCTAACAGAACCTGGAAAGCCAACTCTGTTGCTTCATGGAAACTTCTTTTCCCTCTTGCTTTAGTGCAAAGGGCTGTGTTTGAACTTCCAGGGGTACATTTTTTACTTCTTCTCGCCCAAAGGTCAGTGGTCAAAGAACAAGCACGAAAATGATCCATGTTCATACAGCAGCTGAACAGGAAAATCTTTGAGCTGGTTGAGGGCACATGTCAGATGCTGGGAAGAGCATGACATTCACAGGATAAAGGGAAAATCTACAGTAGAACTAGCCACCTCAGCCCACTGGGCAGCAGTTGGTAAAATTTCCTGCCCTGACTATCTCATTTCACAGAAGCAAACTAGACATATTCTCTAATCAGGGATCTCATTTCAGAAAATCGCCAATTCAGTAGCAAGCCTGGTTTTTAGTCAAACAAAATCAGTTTCCCTGGTTCACCTGTTTGGTGAACTAATGTATAAACCAAGATTATTCAGGGAGGTGGGGAACAAATGACCAATCAAACCATAGCTTATGAATGCTCCTAAAGAAAAACCAGATAATATAAACAATCTAAATAAATAGAAGTAATGATTCAAAACTATCCTTTAAAAAAATAATCCTGTATTATTAGCCACTGTTTAAAGAATAACATTGTGGCAGTTCATGGAAAACATATAGGATTTAAAAGACTACAAGAGCACAGCATGGTATAAAAGCCTTTGTACTGCTTTGACTTTCATTGACCTACATGTCAATTTACCCTCCCCAAGCATTACAACCCTAGGTGAAAAAAATCAAAGCAAACCTTCTAGAAATGGATAAATCCAAGAGCTAAAGTGGAAGACAACTGCTATCCAGAGAGTCATCAGCAATACAAAAGGTGATCCACATAAATCAAGTTTTTCCTGAAAACGGATTAAACTTACATTTCAAAGTAGTAGCAACATGATTTTCAAGTAAAATCTGGCTATGCACTGAAATCTTAAATTTTATACTTTAGTTCTGAGTAAGGCATTAAGAAGTGTATCCTAAATTGAATAAATTCTAACCATTTTGTATACTATCTTTTGCAGTAGCTGAAGACCTACATGAAAGTACAGACCTTGGCTAAGCAATAAAAAAATTAATCTTTTCAGTAACAATAACTTGTTCCTCAGCACTCAGACATACATGTCTTTAGTAATAGAAGAAATGCGTATTTTAAACATTGGCTACTTTTTCATAGGGAAAAGGATTTAAGAAAGAATAACAGTGAATACCTTTAAGAACAGTGCTTTCACATCATTCATCAAACATTGGAGAGATAAGGCCTTCAAACTAAACCACTAATTAACACTAATTTATTATTTTTTAAGGACCCAGCAAAACTACACTTCACTTAGCGAAGCAAAATGGCCTCTTCTCCTATCTCATCACACCTTCACTCTAATATGAAGCAGTCCTAAAATTTGCTGCTGTCAAACGTGGTTCAATTTGAATAGGTTTTTTTAAAAGCTCTGTCTACATAAACTCATCAAGTCACAGTGCCTTGTTCAGAGACTGCCAAATGTTTCATAAAGGACACTGGCCATTGGTCATGTCAGATGTCCAAAACATGCATGTTGGTAAACATGTGAAGATGAAAAAAAATGTATTAAAACTATGTGCCATAATTCCGCCAGAAACACCAATATTGTCTGCAAAGACAAAAGTGATTTTTAATCCAAAGACCAGAGGAACAAAGAACAACTTATTTTCCAAAATGGAAAAAATATGTGTCTTTGAAAGCTGATAGATTCTTACTAGAATTTAAATAAACAACAGCTCTTCGAGTCAAAGGCAGCTGCATTTTCTTCCCTGATTTACATGTCATTCTCATGGCAGCAATGCTCAAATGACTGTACAGGGATATTGGAACTACAAAGAAAAGCTCTGTAAAAAGGCCAAATTTTTGCTATTCAGTCTGTTCAGATTTTCCTAATAGGTATGATAATTCCCAGTTTTTTGCCTAGCAGCTGCAGTAGCATTACATATCCCATTGCAAATAGAAAGCACAATCACACTTTGGGCTCCAGTCTTTGCCAGCAATGTCCCACAACAGAACTAAACAGAGATACACGGGCAAGGCACCACCCAGATCCTCTGAATTTGCTTAAGACGGTCCCTTTACCTTCGTAACCAGTGTCACCCAGAGGAATACAACCACTATCATGAACGCTGGCGTGAAGACAGAACAATTCAATATATCATTCTAAAACTGTTTTAAATGTGAGCGCTACAGCCCTGCCTTTGTACACAAACACAACCTGAGGAGTGCAGGTGAGAGGATGGTACCACTTGGAGAAGGCGTTCACAAATACCTACCTAGCTAAGATGTATCTTGGGCCAGAGTAAAAAAACCCAAAGACAAAACCCAATTCCTTTAACAATTTAAAATTTTGTTGACTCTTACAAGAAAGTGGAGAATAAAGGGCAAGGTTTAATTTTTCAGAAGCCACCTGAATATCCTCTTCCCAAGCGCACTCACGAAAGTACCTCTTGTTTTCCTTGGAAAATCATAATAATAGTGGAAATGGAGAAAGGAATCCTGGCTCTGCGATCTATCCCTCCTCCTCCTCCCCCAAGAAGCCATTTCTTTTCCAATAGACTTACTTGAGCCAGATTTCAATAGAGTCTGAGTTGTACAATGGTAACAAAAAACCAAATTACTTTAAAAATCAAATATTCGCTTTCACTTAGCTACATTCTAGTTGCCAGTAAAAGACACAGCCTACCAGTGTAGGAAAGCAAAGTGAAAATGCCTCAATGTCAGAGTCTTACATCTCATAGGGAAGGCGGTGGTGCGCGGAAAACACGTTGTTTAAGAATCCTTACCAAAATGTCCAGTTTTGGTATAAAATAATCCATGCGTGATAAGTAATTCTAATGCTGATTAGTAAAGATTATTTTCTGAATACTCTTTCGACTACAAAATCACCTCACATTTTTAAATATTGCCATTGCAGGCCTTTTGAGTACAGGCTCTTAGGAAAATATACCATGCCATCCTTACAAAATACATTGAAAAAATGCAGTAAGATGTTTTTTGAACTAAAAACTCATAAAGATCATTTTCCATGCTGACAGCGCGCATTTCATCCAGAAGTTTGAAGAGTCAAATGCTACCCCAGCTGGAGATTATTCTGCCAAATGGCTTCCAACAGTGACCACAGAGATGGAGGATGGGAGGGGTGCATGCGTGTGTCGGCAAATAAACGTGACGGGAAGCAACCCCAAACCCACATCATCTTATCAAACATCTGACATACGTAGCCAAGCAGACAATGAAAATCCAGAATGCAAAACTGAAACAAAAAGCCATGAACAGAATGAAATAAAACCATTTGTGAGTTACCTGCAGAGATTTAAAACAAAGTACACAAGTGAAGCAGATGTAATTCATATGGATTTGCCCAGGAAGGAGAAAAGGAGGGGTGGGTGTGAGGACTGGGGGGGGAGAAGAACAGATACCTTTTTTTCTTAAACAAATCCATCATGAAAGAAAAAGAGACAAGATTATAAATAGGCCGAGTTATAGCGCACCATGGGATTTTTAATCTGGCTACCTGTGGTTTTTGCAGTTAAAGCCCTATTCAGCAGTGGGGAGGGAGGGGGGACGGCGAAAAAAAAGAAAAAGAAAAACAAAATCACATTTATGTGCCAGTTTCGCAAGCGCTCCCGCAGCGTGCATCACCCACCGCGCTGGCAACCAGCAAACACTCACTATTAGCATTTTCTAATCAGCGTACGCCTTTCAAACATTATTGATCATTACCTGGCCGTCCTGTTGCCTGCATTCTTGAGTTGTACTCTCTAGCTGTGCCATGGCAGCGCGAAGCTGCTTCTCCTGCTTCTCCATCTCCCGTTGATGGTCTCGGACCAGACAGTCCTTCTCTGCCTTGTGCTGCTGGAATAGGTGCGTCTTCTCCTGTTCACGCTCCAGCTTCAGCTCCACTATCTGATTGGACAGGGAGGAGTACAGTTCATCAACAGAACATCCTTGTCGTCATGACAACTCGTCTACAGCTTAATTTTCCCCTTAATTTCATCAAGTTGGCAATTTTATTTTTACGTCACTCTTACCTCACCTTTAAAAAAGCCACCGTTACCGTGACAGGATCCCTCCTGACAACTGCAACAATGGAGACAACCGAGCAAATCCAGCGCATCCTTAACCAAGTGGTTGGTACAAATGTCGGAATGAACCAAAAAAAAATAAAAAGGAGAAAAAGAAAAAAAAAAGGCTTTTTCGCATTCGGTGTTGGGTCCCCCCGTGTCCTGCTGCTGCTCATCAGCAGGGCTGAGGATCCTAAATGGTTAACAGGCAGCCTGCTCTCCCCTTCCCTTAAGTATACACACACATACCAGGTTGTGTCATCACACTGCAGGGTACTGTGCTTGGGTTCCCCTCATTGAAGGCATCTGCACATGAAATTGCCCCTCTGCCCAAGGGAAAAGGCTTTTTTTTTTTTAATAAAAAAAAAAGGAAAGAAAAAATAATAAAAAAGCCAAGCTCTATTATCCCGTTGTCAGCTATGCTATCCCAACATAAACAGATGTATGTGTTCCAGAAGGGCACCTGCTGTGCCGCAAGCTTGCACCATGATTTCATAAGAAGCCCTCTATTCTCAGGATCCTTTCCCAGTCTGCACCACACTGGATGCTGTGACCTTGGCCAGTCTGAGCCTCTCCCCGTTAGCCTGAATGGCAGCCCGAGACCAAGGGCCTGGTTGCTGCAGCTTTGATACTAATCCTCCCCGCCTGCGCACAATGGCACCCTACCTGGCCTGCACACTGGAGCAGCCCGCCCGCCTTTGAAGCAGGTGATGAATAGGGACGGCAGGAAGCCGCTTCCCCACTGAACTCCGGGCCACACAGCTGCTAAAGAACAGTCACTTGGATTTTTCTTCAGTTTTGGTGGATTTCGGAGGAGGAGGGGAAAGAAAAAAAGAAAAAAAAAAGAAAGATATTTCAAAAAACCCCAAACCCAACGCGCTTATCATGAAGATGGTGGGGTGTTCTCAGCGGGAGGGGAAAAAAGGCAACGGGAGGAGCCGGCTGTGTGTGCGCTGAGAGCGCCCGGCACCTTATCTTAAAGCTGTAGCATTCAATTCTGGAATAATATTGGCTGGTTGTGTGGCTTTAGGGTTTAAAATTTGAAGTAAAAAAAAAATAATTATAAATTCCTCATTGTGTCAAACTACAGCTCAGCGTGTTCTGAGTGTGAGAGGCAGATACATCATCGGTGCTGCAGCCCAGAGCATCCTGCTGGAAAAGGGAGCAAGTAAAAGAGATGCAATATGCTATGGTTTAACATATCTACATTATTTAATAATACTATAAGGCTCATTAACAGATGTCTGAAGTCCCTGAAGGAGTTAACTCCTCAGGAGGCAAAGATTATCTGTACTGGGCCTGGGATCCTTGCACAAAGTTCTTTAAGTCAGGTTTTTGCCCCAGGTTTGCATACAAAAGTGGTTTCTTTTCAGATGCTCTTGGTGTCCTTAGTGTGTCTGAAAGAAAGAACTCCTCCCTAAAATAATTTTAAAGGCTTTGCCTGAGTTATGGGAAAAAATGTTTAGTAGTTTTTCCTAAATCAGATCTCATTAAAAATAAATAGTGTCAAAAGAGAGGTCTTTTTATTCAAACATTCTCTTAATAACTGGATTTTCAGCTGGTTGGGCCATGTAAGGTCTGGGGTAAGACATATTGTTGTGGGGACGTTCAATTATTTAGGTTTTCACTTTTTAAATTCAGGACAAGAATTGGAAGCAGGGAGAAAACGTGTGCTGGAAGGGGGCACAGGACAGACCCTGCTTCTTCAACATGATACACGTGTACATCACCAGTTCACCCAACCAAAGTAATTCCAGTTTATTTAGTAATCTCTTCACCTACAGCATTTATATGATAGACAACGGTTTTGATTTGAAGAGTTGGAAAGAACAGAAGGGACCAGGCCCTTCTGAATGCAGGAGGGGTGTCCTCGGTTAGGGACATGGGAACAGAAAGGATGTGGTGTGAGGGGAAGTGTTTTATAAAAGGCAAATCTGTTGAAGAAGAAAACCCCTCACAACTTAAAGCAAAGTACTCCCCAGGACGGTTTTGTTTTGCTTTTTAGATGTTTCTTCTGTCAGGGAGCAGAGGTGGACAGACAGGATGGGGCCAGGAGCATTTTCTTCCCTGAAGTTCAAAGCCCTAGAAGCCCCATCTTCCCTGAGGATCATTAACAAGTACCCCACGTTCATAACCAAACGTCTGTTCCTGTACAAGTGACGTGGAGTGACTGACGAGCTATTTGACTGCTCTGGTGAACACTCCCTGACCCTCCTGCTCTCCTCAGAACTGCTGCCAAGCACTATAGTCCCTCTTCCTCTCTCTTTCATTCCTGTATTGTTGGAGGTTTTTTTAAAGGAAAAGGAATGAATGTATACCAACAACCATGCTGTTTGTCAGCAACAGCAGGACTTCATCACAGGAAGCTGCAGGAAAACTATATTAATTCTTCATAAAACAGTATGAGTCTTGTCTCTTCAAGGCAGAGAGCACCTTCATAAATGTTATAATAAAACCACTTCCTTTAAAAATTGTATCATGTTGAGATCTTTCTGCATCTCTCCCTGGATGCTTAGGACTTCATCAGATGACATTAAAATGTCCAGTCAAACCCAGCACTTCAGAAGGCGGATTTTAGGTGCTGCACATTTCAAACAGACAAGCAACACAATATTCACAATTAGACGTAGGGGCAACACTGAGAAGATAAATACATTAAATAATAGAGTGAGTCCAATTACCATAATGAGTTTGTATTCATTGAGGCTTAGATGTTTCCCCATTTTGCCCTCTCAAAGATGAGATTCTCTTATTCTCTTCTCTGCACTTCTATCACCAGCCACAGCCCAGCATTAAAGCAAGCAGGACCGACTGACCCCAGGTAGGTGTTGGTACCATGGAACACTAGGATTACCAAGTAACACGAGCATTTTCAAATCATGAGCTCCTCTGACATTAATTCTTCACTTTTGTATTCTTTCTGCACCAGTAAGACAGAACCATAATATTCAAGGCAACTGCCAACAGGTGATTCCTGAAGCCATCACCAGAATTACACCTTTTAGGATGAATTTCTGCTTTTAACTGAAACTTAACAATATTCACTCAGTCTTGCAGAGGAAAGACAAAATCCTTCAGAAAAAGCTAAAAACAGATTAAGTTTTTTTTCTATTCACACACACACACAGGCTACCAAACACTTCTGGCATTGTAGGCCATGGCCACCCTTCACAGGACACCCACAGCTGCTGATGGACCATGACCTTCCAATGCAGGCAGATTTAACTGCACCTACGTGTGGAGTTGCTACAGAGCAACCTGCTGAAATAAGAGACAATCTAATAAAGTGAATCACAAAGGGAAATCATATTGTTTGTGCTGGTTTAGTTCATACATCTGAAGAACAAATATCTACAGTAAATAGCCTGCTGATTGCAACAGATATTTTCAGAAACAAAATACTTGGAATATAATCAACATCAGCAAATACTTTTTAAAAGTCCTTGATATAGACAAAACCTTCTACTATCCAGCTTTTGCTTTTACATCACACACTAAGTTTGGGCTTTTCAATTTTAGAACAATTTCAACTTGTTCTCAAGAACAAATATGCCTTTGAATTTCTTTTAAAATCCCCAAAGGAGAGAAAGGAAATTAGTTAGCTCACTACCTCTTTGAAAAACGTAGCTGTGACAATAAATATTTGACACCAAAGTATGAAAATTCATGTAAATTTATGTCCACAATTCCAGAAATATTGTAAGCAACACCTATATAGTTTTACAAAGGAGGATTATTTTATTAGTGTTATTTTGGCATGACTGACCTTCTGAGGGCTGAGGAAGACACCAGCAAGTTTCACATGACATGGCAAAGAACGGAACTAAACTCACTTGTACAGTGTGCATAGAGCACACTTGTTTTGCAGCATTTCTATCTTACCAGCATTTAAGAGTGTAAATCAGGTGTCTTTATTATCTCTACTCCACTCAAAACCAGCCCTAACCCCTGCCCAGCCCAGCATCCAGCACATGATCTACCCACAAATACCAACTCTAGGAAATCTAGCATTCCCTGTCTCCTAAGCTTATAAATAAATGTGCATGTTTCATGAGGATATGGGGATTACCCATCTCACAAATACCCTGCTTCTAAAAGTAATCTAATATAATAGGCTGCAGCATCAAGTATTAATCATGCTTAGCATAACTTTGGGCAGAAAAGAGGAATTTTCAAGGCAAGGGAGCATGCCAGAACTACTTTGCAGCAGATAAATAACACGGATTTTAAAAGTACACATTTTTTTTAGATTTTGCTATAGTTTGGAACACATAGTGGTCCCAAGATAAAAGGGCTGTAATGAGCCAAAAGCAAATGGGACAATGAAAAATACCTCAGTGCAGAACCACGTATTACCACGGAAGCAGCAAATGCACACAAGGTAACATACTTGCATAGCCAAGGCGTTTTATTTCCTGTGTCACTGCAGGCTGCAATAATTAATTGGCATAACGATGCTTCACCCTATAATCAACCACTAATAACTGTATTTCAACTGCAACCCAAGAACTGCAAGAAATCCTCTAGAAGAGACAAGCTGGTCCATTAGCTAAACTGCCGGGTGATTTATCCTCCCCACTACAACACCACACCCGAGTGCTTTCACTACCCATATAAAATATCTGAGCTGTAAATTTTTACTTACAAAGGCCTTCCAGATTTTTAATATATTTAAAGTTTGGGCAGCACAAACCTCACCTCAAAGCCTCCTGTCTTCCCAATAAGTAAATTTGTGTTTAAATCACCAACATACTGGAAATGAAGTTGCATTCCCGTGATTTCCTAAACCCCACTCAGGGCTGTGAGGAAGATCAGGAGGTCCCACTGCCCTCCCCAGCCCAC